GCACAACAAAAAGAAAAGTATCTTTAAGATGCGGTCTGTGGCAGCAAATCGTTGAGATGCCAATGCTGATAATCAATAATTTTTATATTTTTGCCACATCGCGCCAGTCGGCTTTGCAATCCAGCTCAAAGGAGGACTTGCCCCTTACATGCTTTTGCTGTGTCAGCTCCCAACTCCTTGGCCAGCCAAAAGGACATGACAATAATCCTTAATTACAGCTCACAGCTAACCAGGAGTCAGAGAAATTCGAATTATGATTGGAGTTCAATGATTCAAATGCAGTTGTTGAATTTTCTTTTGGGAAGTGGAGATTTTTGATTACTTTTCTGTGCTGAATCTGATTCTAAAATCTATGTTCTTAAAGTTTTTCTCTTAAAGCATAAAAGATACATCAAGTGGCTTCGGAATATTAAAGAAAATATAATCATGGTTAAGCACATATTTTAAGGATAACAAATAAAGGCTAACAAAGTTTATCAAACCAGTTTTTCAGATTAAGTAACCTGAAATCTCTCAATCTCCTCACTTCTGAATCCTCTTCCATTATGCACTTCCAATCACCATTGACTTCTCATTTTGGTATTCCGCATGCAAAACAAATTGACAGCCAAAGTGAGATTTGCTTTCAAGAATTTTGGCCCAAACAGATTTCTGCCAAAAGCTCAATGTTTGATAGTGTCAAGGTGGAAGGTCTCCTGTGAGTACCGCAGACTTATCTCAACCCTAACTGCGGAAAAACCCACATATTCTTTTATTAATGCCGAAAAAGCGGAGTGCTAGCATACGATTTTTGCGTGGAAAAGTGCCAACATTTCCATCAAAAGCTCAACCCTTTGAGTGTTGAATTTTCTTGTCACGTCAACAGAGAGAGAGAGAGTTTCCCCCAAACACTTTCCTCCGAATGAAAACATCGAAATCGCATTCTGCTGATTAGGTTTCCAGGTGTCTGGAGTGAAAATTGGTGAAATGCCATTGGTAATGGTGATTGCGAAACCGCTTACGGTTCTGGCATCGGGTGAGGACATGAAGTGCAGAATCTGTGTAGGCAATTAAAATCCTTGCCCAGAGGGATGGAGAAGGTATTGGAGGAAGTCCTGGAAAGACAACTTGATGTGCAATAAAAATGCTGGGCTTTTTGGAAACAGCAAAAGGAGACCCCCAGGAAATGGCATCAGTTGCGAAATTGGATTTCTGACCCTTTGGCCAGCCATGTGTGAAGGTCCTTTGGCCATTTCTATTTGCATCTAATACATAAACATAATGCGTTAATTTCAAAAAGGAACTTGGCAAGTACAAAAAAAAAAAAAAATATATGCAAACAAACGAAAAATATTTTTCCTGTGGGTGGTAATCAAATTTGCGATGTTTTTTTTCTTTCTTTCTTTCTTTTTTTTTTGTGGCTGCCACATCTTACTGAATTGCTTAGCTTTGGGGGGGTATTCCCAGAGGATTCTGGAGGGGTGACCGCAGGACAGAAGGCAGGACATGCGAGCGATACAAATAAACAAATGATGTAAATTTCATTTTCCAGGACTTTGCATTGCTCAAATATGAAAATTGTGAAAATATGAAAAGCCAAGGCCCTTAAATAAATTACATCGAATTTATTTTGAAGTCAAAAAGAGTCTGAAGTAAAAGACTAAAACTATTAAGGAAGTTGGGGGAAATGGGTTTTTCCTTTTTTCCAACAAATATATTAGATTCATCAAAGTTCAGTCGATTTGCATTTATTTCACATTTGTCAAGGACCAGCTGCTGGCAAAAGGGTCTTAAATGTCAGCCTCATCATCGGACTGCCAACATTAAAAACCACTTTTCTGAAAGACGGAAAATCCTCAAACTGATTGGCATTAGCCAAATATATATATACTCGTATATATGGAATGGAAAAATGTCAAATAATTCTACGTATTTCAAGCACAAAATGTCAATTTCAATTTGAGGCTTTTGAGTGAAATGAATGATTCGGTTTTAATTCTGATGGAATGTGAAAACCGAAGCCAGGTTGTACAGGGATTTAACATTCAGGGTGGTGGTGGTGTCTTGGTTTTCCTTTTTCTGCCAGCCATAAAATACTTTAAATTAGCATATTAATAGCTTTCGATAGCGTTAGTTATTCAACTTGAAAATCAAGAGATCATAGGCACATACTCATCCTGCCGCATAGGACACTCGCGGGTGCCATAAAAAGTTCACACAACAGCAATTCTGCAGCTCGAAAAATCCCAAACGATTAAAATTATGCAAACGCATTAGATGGTAGCCTGCATTTTTGGTAAAACGACTAAGGTATCTAGGGAGCCATGGGGCCGTAAACACTCAATATTCGTTGCCGCAAGGAAAAGATTTTTGTTTCGAAAAGTAAATTGCCTAGGCCTGCTCTATATGCAAATGTGAAAATCGCACAAGGCACTTAAAAGCCAGATAAAGACATCTGGTGGAGGGAAATCAAAAATCAAAAAAAAAAACCTATTAGTGTTCACTCTCTGCTCACAGGTTCATAAATCAAGTGATAAGATTGTTCTTCAGCTCAAGCATGTGTTTCTTCTTATGAAGTCTTAATTGCTTTATAACACTTTTTAGGTTCTTTATGATCTTTCCTTTGGGAAAATTATTTTTACCAATAAAGGTTTATCAATAGTAATAAATTTAAAGATTTTTTTGAGTAATTTCTTGGTTTGTTGATTTGTTTTTGATTTCAAATCAAATTTATTTGATATTTGAAATTCCTTTTACATATAAAAATGAGTGACTGTCACATAAATCTCTCTTAGAAAAATAGGTTTTAATTTCTGGGTAAAATTTGTTTGGAAATTTCAAGAATAATCTTGGTTTTTATCAAACATTTAAATTTGTGATTTACTCATTACTGAGGCTATGAAATTCTTTAAGTAAAGAAGCCGAAACTTAACTTATAATAAATAAAAATGGTTGGGTAAATATTTAATATATATTTGAAACGTACATAATTCTTTTAGCTTGAAGTTAAATCGCTTTAAAATAACATTATTTTCTAATTTTCTTCGAGTGTAACCAACCATTTCGTAAAGCGCAAACATTCTACTAATTATCTGACACATTAACAATGACATTCGACATATCAAAGTCAAAATTATTGATAGTTCAAAAAGCAAACGCTACATGGGCCACCCTGTATTATACTTTCAACTTATCTAAAACAATACCATTCCAGGTTTACTTCGTATTCATCATATTTCTTATAAACTTTTATTTTTCTATCTTATTTTAGGTTAAATATATTTGTACCTTTGAGGGAAGTGATTGGTTGGTAGCTGTGGGGTTTGATAGGAGAAAGTTAAGGTTTCCATTTTGAAAATGAAGTCCATGTTGCTTAAATGCTAAAAACTCATTCATATTCAGTTCTAGGAGAAAGTACATAGAACATAGTACATATGAAACTGCGTTTTACCTCATCTGCCGAACTTTAAAATTGTTCTCATGGCTTTGAGGGGTCTTTCAACGGTGCTCTGGTCAACATTCAATTGTTCTGCTAATTGTTCTTGGGTTTGGCCATCGTCCTGATCAAGCAACGCCTGCAATTCAGTGTCCTGGAACTTTTTTGATGGCCTTCCACGCTTTTCATTCTCAACTCCAAATTCACCGCTCCAGAATTTAAAACCAGGCTTGGCCTGGTAAGCTTCCACAAGCCTTTTTTTGGGCTTCCACAGCAGTTTTCTTTAGAAGAAAGCAGAAAAGCAACGATGTCTGCGTATCGTGGTTTGTGGGTATAAAAATCGACATTTTTAATATTAGAAAAAAAATTGATAGATTACCTTTAGTTTTTAAATACTTTGCATATATTTTTCAGATATTTGCCTTAACTTTACTATATAAATAAGCGTTAACTGCTTAGATTAAGATGCCATATAAGATTTAATGAGAAGGCGCTGGAGTACGAGTACTAAGATAGGGCAAGTCATGGCAAAGCAAGGAGAGGCAAGGCAAGGATACTTTTGGTTAGAGTGCAGGCCAATTACCACAACCGCCGGCCAGGGCAGTGCAACTTAGTGTGTGTGTGTGTGTGTGAGCTATGCCTATCTTGCTGCCTATTCAAGTGTCCATTTTTAATTAACACTCTGACAATTTGACGCGAAATGCATTTCCAGAGAGTGTGTAACCACGTGCGAGTGTATAAGTACCACGTGTATGTGTGTCTGTGTGTGTGTGTATGTTGGTGTGGCAGGACTAATGTTGCCACTGCGGCGGCAGATGCATACGAGTATGTGCATGCCGATGAGCCTTTGGTTTTGTGGGTAGCTGAGAGCTCTGCGCCGAATGTTTAGAATGCAATTGACGTGTCAGAGGGCAAATGCCAAGGGGGCATGGGCATGGCTATAGAGTAAGGGATGTCTGGATGAAGAAGGGGTCACAGCATCAGACAATAGGAGGGGGGAGGAGGATTGTGACTGATAAATGTTGCATGCGCCTGTGTAACCCAATTACCGTTCTGCAAATTACCCACACCTTCAACCAAGGCGACTCCTAGAGTCTGGGGCTCCCCAACATTCCTAGACTCGCTTTGCATAATTGATGACAAATTGAAATCATGTTTATGGCATAGAAGAGGCTGCAACATTTCCATAAAATTCTATATATATTTTACATAGATTTTGATGTGGACAGTCTTCGCCTCAAACCCATCAGGACTTTCCCTTTTCCTCGACTTTTTCCTAGGCCATAAATCCCGGGACTGGCCAGGCTAGGCCAAATCGAAATGGCCAGGGCCAATGGATCAATTTGCGGTTGATGGAGCTTAGCCGCTTGAGTCTTCCTCACGGGGCTCGTAAATCGCATTGAGTGGGGGCCATAAATTTTCAATTCAGTCTGTGGGTGAGGAAAGGGTAATAGACAGTCGACCAAAAACACAAATTTATAGATTAGTTAGTTAGCTATTAAAGGGAAATGTTTTTAAAATTAAGTAAAGTAAGGAAATTTATCCTAAAATCAAGACAGATGTAAGAACCGGGAGCTATAACTCACCCAAAAACTTATTTTTCTATTTTTAACAACAAAATTTTCAGTTAGCAAGGCCAGAAATCTTGTCAATCTCGGCCAGAAAATGTCCATCTCTGTAAAGCGGAGAACTGTGATTTCGCCGCAGGAACTGCTAAAGTCGCTAGAGCTTTCCGGGGATGAGGAACTCGATCTGCAGATCAAGAACTGGGTGATGTGGGACCGCAATGAGGCGACACTAAACCAGGTGACCGATGCGATCAGGGATCAGGACTGGGAGGCTCTACGGGTGAGGCTGTGCAAGAGGATTACCTATTTACCAACTGGTATGAGGGGAGGAATGCGTGCTGGTTTCGACTCGCTGAACGATGTGGTGATCATTGAGGTGGCCCAGGGCACCTGTGCTTATCTCCTTGATGTCTATCCAAGCATTCAGAAGCGGCAAACCCAGGGCGTGGTCGTTGGCTATGATGGAAGGTACAATAGCAAGAGATTTGCTCAGCTCATCGCCACAGTCTTCTTGCAAAACGATTACAAGGTCTACCTTTTCACCCGGATGACACCGACACCATTTATACCCTTTACCATTTTGGCACTTCAATGTCTAGCTGGGATTGTGGTCACCGCCTCGCATAATCCCAAAGAGGACAATGGCATAAAGGTATACTGGTCGAATGGGGCTCAGGTGATGCCACCACATGATCAGCGGATAAATGATTATATGCTTAAGAACCTGGAGCCAAAGCCTTCGTCCTGGGAAACTTCGGTTGTAATGGATCATCCCTTAGTCGAAGATCCCTTCCGCAAGGTGTACCCCCTGTTCTATGAGACTTTGAAGAAGCTATTGCCCCCGATTTATATGGAAACCAATGAGTGCAGTCAGTTAAGGTTCATCTACACAGCTCTCCATGGCGTTGGGTATCCCTTCATGAGAGAAGCCTTTTACCAGGCACGTCTCAAGCCTGTCATTCCCGTCGTAGAGCAGAAAGATCCAGATCCTGAGTTTCCTACGCTGAACAAGCCAAATCCGGAAGGTAAGTTGACATATAAACTTGGATAAAACATAATTTTTCTCTTCAATTTCAGAGGGCAGGGAAGCCCTGAAGTTGGCCATCAAAAAGGCTGAGGCAGAGCACTGCACTCTGGTGCTGGGCAACGATCCGGATGCCGATCGCCTGGCAGTGGCTGAACTAGATCCACGTGGCCGTTGGAAGATGTTCAATGGCAATGAACTGGGCGCCTTGCTTGGATGGTGGGCCCTGGAGAACTACAAGACAAGGACACCCAAGCCAATCGTATCCAATTGCATAATGATAGCCACACTGGTGAGCTCCCGAATCCTGGCGGCGATGGCACGTGTTGAGGGTTTCGTCTTCGTAGAAGGTATGCCAAGTTTTCCCTGGATGGCTAATCGAGCCTTGGAACTGCAAAAATCTGGTAGGACAGTGCTCTTCGCCTTCGAGGAGTGTTTTGGCTATATGTTCGGAATGAGTTTAGCGGATAAGGATGGCATTGGTGCAGCCATGCAGTTGGCCAGCATGGCCTGCTATTTGCGTAGCACTCGGAATGTAACGCTGATCGAAAAGCTGAGAGAGATCTATGATACATATGGCTATCACTCCTCGGTGTCGTTTGTTTTCATGGCAGATGAACCGGCAACAGTGGTGACCATCTTCGAGCATTTGCGGAACTTCAACGATGAAGGCGGCTATCCCAAGTGCATTTTGGATGGCGAATTCGAGGTTGTTCATATCCGGGACTTGACCACTGGATTGGATACTAGTTCTAGCGATGAGAAGGCTCGCCTGCCTGTGAATCCAGAGGCTCAGTTGATTACCTTTACCTTTACTAATGGCTATATGGTTACCCTGCGTGCAGCTCCCGATGACATCAAGATCAAACTTAATGCCGAGATCTGCGGCTTGCCGGAGGAAAAGGAATGGGAGGAGCTACATGACAAGCTTAATAGAATGACCAATGCGGTGGTAGAGGAGTTCCTTGAGCCAGAGGAACATGGACTTGTAGATACTTCAGTCATTCAACCGGCTTAGGGTAATGATAGTCAAGAAATTTTTTAAACAAAGGAATAAAATCTTAAAAAGACCTAGTTCCCCATGTTAACTTAACCATATTTTCTGAAAACCTTTATCTCTGCCTATTAAAGTGCTGGGAAAATGTATCTTAGGTGAAAATGGGGAGCTGGAAGAGCCGCAGAACGCCAATTAAGCGTACACGGAAAGTCCCAGCCAGCCAGTCATGTGGGCCATGAATGAGTATTAGCTTGGAAAGGCGAATGCCAACATCATCCTTTGTTTTGCCACGTATCTCTATCTGGTGTATCTCTAACCAAGCGAAAGTATCTGAGAAGACAAACAGTGAAATTTTATAGTTTGCCTGCTAATTGCACTCTGGGGGTGCTTTCACCACCCCCAGCTTTCTTTTCGTTACCCAGCTCCACCCTCTTGATTGTGTGGTAATCGCTTCCGATTGTGCGAATCAGCAAAAGTCAGTGTGCTAGCATAATGAAAACAGTGATTAAGAGACGTAGGCCAGGCCATCATATAAGTCGTTAGAAGGAGACTCATGGTTTCTCTGCCAATTCAGGGTTCATCTTCCAACAAATTTCTTCTTTTTAGCAGGTCAAACGGAATATTTCAATAGCTTAAAAATGTGAAGTGCTCTCAGGTAGGCAAACACAGCGCTGAACCCCGAGAGGTTGTCCTCAAGTCGAATTTCATTCAAGACAAAAGGTCTCAAGCTCGTATGGCTGTCCTTCGTATATCCTTGCTTTTGGCTGAGGAAACCCATTAAATTTTCCCTAAAATACATACTCAAACTGAGATCCAAACGCACACGAATTAAATATTAATCCCTGTCGACGAGTGGGTTTCATTTTTTTTTACCTTTTCGGGTGGGCTGTGGCACGTTTTACACGGTTAGTGGCGCTGCGCCAAGGTTAGTGCATTATTAAGCACTGTTTATGCGACATTAGGAACATAAAAGGCGACCCAAAGTCGATGTAAATAAGACACAGGGCCGGCCTCCTGGCAAATCAACAAAATAAAACGAATGTCCCACATGTGGGTTTCCTTTTTGGGTTTTGGCTGGAATTTGAAAATTTTGGATACTGCCATTAAAATAACTAAGAGTTTTCTGGGGTGGTAAAGGAGGGTATATTGGGTGAGATATGAGTCTTAAAGGGGATGCTGTGTTTGTAGATTGAAATAAATAATCTTAAAAAGAGATAGTTAAAAGAATGTTGAAATTTTAAGCTTGATAATAAATATTTTCATATTTTTATAAACAGATTTTGATATGTGGATGTGTGAAGGTCTTTCAAGTGGGAAATATTTACAGAAATGTTTTATTGTAGAAAGTTTTAGCTTATAGACGGATACGTTAGTTGGTACCTTATCAAATCAGATAATGAATTAAATACTATATATTTTACGTCAATATTTTAAATCAATATGTTTAACAAAACTTAAAACTTCGAAGAAATATTTCACAGCTCTTCTGCGATGGTTCTAATAATCACATCACGATCTCGATCCACTATTTCCATGATTTTATCCTTATCAACGGTGTTTCGGTATCAAACTTGCCACTTCGGAATCGCCTAAACCACTGATCGGCGGTTTGAATCGAAAGTTTGTTATTTCCTAAGACCTAAGGTTGTTTCGTAATGACATACCGGCTTCTTTATTGATTTTTGAAGACGATTTTAACATAGTTAGCATTGTCCGATTTAAGTGCTATATGTTCCATTGCCTTCGATGATTTTCTGCCATTTTGATAATATATATATAGATAATATATTTTTTTTTAAATAAAATAAACTCCCTTTCCCATAACTATCCTAATCGGCAACATGAATTATTAATGTTTCAGCCGCACAAATTCGATTCTAATCCGTTTGCCACGAGGCACATTGCCCCGAAACTATGCTCACCAATAGGATTTTGAACATCCTGGCCTTGTGGCACATATGTTGTGGATATTCTGTTACACCCGATCGTAGTCCTTGGTAATGAGGGCCAACCGTAGAACCACCCTCAGTGGTCCTTCAAAGGCTACAAAATATAGAAAAATACGAGGGGGTGCCAGGAGTGGCACTGGGACAATGGCATCTTAAATTCGCATTCGAAATGAACCGAGCGGTGGTAAATTGATTACGTGCCACTTGCTCACATCATCAATTTCAGTCCATATGCGCGAAAATCCTTTGACTAACGAGTGCCGCAGTAAGGCAGGAAGGCAGGATGCAGGATGCAGGACGCGGGAGCAGCGGCAGCACCCACAAAATTGTTAGTTGACACTCGAAATTTCTGGTGTTCAGCATCGTTAATTAAGAGCATTTGTTGACTTCCGCTGCGGTGACCGTTTATTTGCTGTTTGTTTTCTTTTTTTCCTTACAAGCGATTTCCTCTGCTTTTCCGAGGGAGGAAGTTTCGGGTTTTAGAATCACAGGATTATGCATATTGTTAGCAAGTGATATCAAGTGGTTGTGGGCTAAGAAATGTGAGCTAAACTTGGGGTTAACTATGTAAAACGGATGTCGCTGTTTGTTGTGTTTTATCAAGTTAATAACTTTTTTATGATAAACCTAGTTTTACTATACATTATCCTGGTTATGTATTAACAAGTTCAAGGTGAATTTATATTTTAAGGCGAATGTATTAGTCTTAAATCTATAAATTTGTTAGTGCCTCAAAAATAGAGATAGTCACCTATGAATTTTCTAGTTTACTTTGTGTTTTATCTTTTTAAAACCTTTTTTATAGGGTTTTTGTATACCATAAATAATTTTAGTAGTTAATATTTATGTTAGTATATATTATATAAACAAACTGAAAGGAAACTTCGATTTAAGAGGGACTGTATTCTTGGTCCTGGATCCATTAATTTGTTTAATTTTTATACACAGAGTTAGTTTCTTGTTAATACTATTAACTAACTAATAGATTCAACTGAAAATATTGGTTTATAATACTACAAAAAGTTCATTAACTTTATTCCATTAAATAAGTAAGTAAGTAAGTGAGTATTAAGAAAGTATAAATTCAAACTGAAATTGAAAATATAAATGTTTTACCTGAAAAACTAGGTGGTCTTAGAAATATCTTTCCTTTCTATAATAATATTATAATATTATTTATTTTATAAAGCCGCATTTTTTAAATATTTCTATATATTACCAAAGTTTTTATTTGTTATTTCTATCTTTTTTGTTATTTTGGAAGATTAAGAAGTAAATTTTGATGTTCTAAGCGATAAGAAAACAAAAAAATCAGCAAAAAACTTTTCGATTTATTTTTGAAAAACTAGTTAATCCCACAAATAACTTACTTTACTATAATAATATTGTTATTTATTTTATTAAGCCTACTTTTTTTTTTGATATTTCTATAAATTACCAAAGTTTTTTTTTGTCATTTTTATCTTTGTGTTATTTTGGTAAATTAAGAAGTAATTGTTTGCTGTTCTAAGCGATGAGAAAACTTTCAAAAAATCAGCAAAAATCTTTTTTTTTTTATTTGAAAAACTATTTGATCTTACAAATAACTTTCCTTTCTATAATAATAGTATTACTTATTTTATTAAGTCACATTTTTAAAAAAATCTTTACTGAAGTAAAGTAGAGTCATTTCTATCTTTTTGTTATTTTGGTAAATTAATAAGTAATTTTTTGGTGTTCTAAATGATGAGAAAACTTTCAAAAAATCAGCAAAAACCTTTTTGAATAATTTCTAAGTTTTAAACATTTTTCCTTCGAAAAAGTTTTCTTAGTTTTATATAAGAAGATTAAAAATTATTATTATAGTTTTGTAAAAACAAAAACTATTTTCTTTAACCTTCATGGTAATAATAAATGTTATTTAGTAAAACTTCTCCAAATTATAAAACTAACAAAAAAAAATCAACCTATTCAAATTATTTTCAATTTCTAAACATTTTTGCTGAAAAAAAAGTAGTTTTTATTTGCCTAATAAATATTAATTTCAATCAATTATTCATCAGTTTCGTGGCAGCTGCAAGGATTCCTGTCCTTAGCGTATTCCCCTCTCTCACCCCCCTCGTTTCTAACAATTTGTTTTTACTGCTTTATTGTTTTCGTTTTTGTCGCATAAAAATGACAACAAATTAGTTTGGCTACCGTCGGTGGTTTCCCGCTGGGTTTTTCACAGTTTTGTTCGATATTTGTTTGTTTGTTGATATTTTTTTTTTCTGCCTGTCTTTGCCGACTTTGTGTCCTTGAGTGCTGGCCAATAAATTATGTGAAGGATGCTGTCACTGGCAGAGCCTCACACCCCTAAAATCCGTTGACCTAGGGATCGGGGTTTTTATTTTATTTTTTTTTTTTTGGACTTTCGGCGAGGGCGCGACGTGTTTTTGATTAGCTTTATAAAATATGCAAACAATGAAAATGCTATCCTGTTTTTCTCTCACTTTTTTGTTTTTGTGCACAAAAGTGTAAAAATCGTCGAAGCTTAATTGCCGGAACATTTCTATTAAATAAACTCAAAGGTAAAAAATCCTAAAAAAATACATAAATTTAATATGCATTGCTTACAAGTTTTTCTATGGCAGCCACAACCCTCTGGATTTCACGGCAAACAAATTGTTTGTAATGCATTTTAATTTTATTTGGTTTTTCCTCTCATCCAGCAATAAATAACATTTTTTTTTTAGCTGAATTTGAAGTTGAAAATGTAGTCATAATTTAACTTTGAGTTTTTGGGTGCCACTAAAAATTTACATGATTTTTACTTCTGCCGCAGCTGTGTGAATATTTAAAATGAATTTTCCTTCTTTTTTTGACTTGGCTTAGAAGGCAATTTGGTCAGTTGGTTTTGTGTTTTTTTGGTCCAATTTCTTTTACTTTTAGTCACCAATAAGAAGCAACTGCTAGGTTTTAAGAGATTGCGAGAGCTGTACGAAAGAGCAAAGCAAGAAGAGTTGAATGTTAAGAGAATGGTCACCAATAAGAAGCAACTGTTGTTTCTATGAGAATGCGAGAGCTGGTAGTAAAGAGCAAGGCAAGCAGAGTTGAATGTGAAAGGAATGGTGAACTGCTTTATCGACGAGCGCTTTATTATTGGTTTATTGAAGTTTAAAGAAATAAATAATGAAAGTAATCTTATAATATTAAGTTCTATGTATGAGTGTAGATGATATATGAGGAAAACATACCCAAGGATTTTAATAGTGAAATATGTTAACTTAATTCTTTTTCCAAGATATATTAGAGGAGACTTTGCTCTTCTTTTAAATATTATTTATCATAAAATTTTTATAATCACTATGTACTATTATTTTATTTGAATAAATTAGTTTTTTAAATGAATATTGATATGGGAATAGTTAAGATAAATATTTGTTTTTAATAGAATCTGAACAGGCCTTCAATCTCTGAACTTAAACTTTATATTTTGTCAATTTTATGTCTAAAAATATCAAAAATATTTTTTTAATATACAAAACAAAATATAGAAATGTTAAAAAATATTAACTTATATCTTTTTCAAACTAACTTTATATTTTCATTACAAATATTACAAGTGCCATCAGGTTTTCCATTACAAAACATCAAGAACCTTTCCTTAAACACGACTAAAAATGTAGATTTATGCTTTGTTTACTTCCATTTGCTAAAGGTTCTTGTTGCATTGTCATCTGTAATAAAGAGTGGGTTCAAGGGGGAGTTGAAAAGGTACAGAAAAGTGTGTGTGGAAAAGAGTTGCTAGAAACAGGGTTATGGATGAGAAAATGCCCCAAGGGAAACGGAAACGGGCAACGGAAATCTATGTATGTCTGCATATGGAGATGCTATTGCTCTTGTCCCTGCTACTGCTGTTTTCCGTACTGTTGTTGCCATTATTTTTGGGTGGAATTTTCACCCTTTTGCAAGGACACTACCTACCAATTACCCCCCGCAGTGTGGAAAACCAGCAGCAAGTAACAGAAGCGTTAGAAAAGTGCACATATTGCATGAAAAAGTGTTCATTAGCAACATCAATTAATGTTGGACTTCCGAAAAAAGGCTGATGAAAAACTAAGTTAGAAGAGTATAATTATATTTTAAGGGAAATTAGTTTTAATGAATATTAAAGAGAAAATATTTTGTTAGAATGTCTTTACAGAAGTTTCCTTTTTTGTGTTTAATTTAAGCAGAATTAAAAGGTTTTCCTTTGATAGTTTTCTCCTCTCTCTTAATCCTAAACTATGCCTTAAAAGTTCTTTAAAAACTTCACTTTATCTTAAATCAATCCAACGAGGCGTCATCCGTTTTTCCTTTAGTTTTTCATCATTTGTTTGCTTTTCAGTTTTTATCCATCAATTATTCCCAGCAATTCTGTCAATCTCCCAGGGAAAAGGGAAAACTGCCTCTCTCTCTCTCTCTCGCTTTTCCTCCTTTCGACTGGGCATTGTTTAACAATTAACGGAACAAGTTGTTTAACTTTACCTAAACGATTTAAGTCAACAGAGCTCTTCCCTCAGCCTCCTCCGGTTTACTCCGGTTTATCCTTCATTCACTCCATGGACCGAATGTCCTCGTCACTTGGTCATTGGATGAGAGAAAGAGGAGGAGACAACAGTCAGTCCTGGCTTCCGCTTCCGATGACTGCACAAATCGTTGGTCTTCATTTTTTTGCAGCTCCATTTCCAGGTTTTTTGCCAGCTTTTTCGTCCTTCTGCTTCTTTTTAAAATGACAGAAATTTGTCAGGAAACCGTTCGTTTTGTTTGGTTCTCGTTTGGCGGCACTCACTCACCTGTTCATCATCCTTCTGTGCCCCCACAAAGTCCCTGCCCTGTTTCGTGGACTCCTGCTTTTTGTTTGCTTTGGCTTGAATGTCAAAAAGTGCTTAAGACCAGCGGGATTTAGGGGTGGAGATAAGAGAGGAAATCTTTAAGAGAGGAAATCTAAGAATTTGGCTATTCTATTTGATTTAATAGTGAAAATTCTATAAAAGGCTGTTTTTTATAACTTTATGTTATGCTAAAAAATCATAAATAAAAACAAATTAAATGAAAAATAAAAAATTATAGAAAATTATAAAAATTATCTTCTTCAAAATTTTCAGTCCATGTCATATAAATGTTAAAATGTGTTTTACTTTTTTATCCCCCTTTAAAACTATCTCATAACTACACCCCTGACCAATGCATCCTTGCATTTCTGCCCACCCACAGTCAGTGGATCGGGATTCCAGTGGCAATGGCAGCGTGCGGCTTCAATAATTAAATTTGCGACATTTCAACGCTCCAGCGATCAATGGAATGGAATTAACTGTTGTCAATTATCCGTCGCTGCTTTCATGCCTCTAAATAGCAAATGCAGCAAAAGCAAAAAGCAAAAAGCATGAAAAAAGCAAGCCAGAAGCAGCGAAAAAGCAAAAAGCAAAGCCAAGGATTGCCGACAATAAAATGTCACTTGATCGCTGCATTGGCGCTCGTGTCCAGCTGAATTTAGGCATCGCCGGCGGTGGTCACTCTCTGGAAGTTTGCCAAGAGGAGATTGGTATCGAGAGGGAGCGGGATGATGCAGAGATATACATAGAAAAATGGGAAATAATTAGAACTAACTTAGTTAAAATAAAGTTAAAATAAAAGGAAAACTAGGAAAGTTTCTAAACTCCAAAACTTAAACAAAAAGTAAAGAAAAAGAAAAACTTTAAGTAGATCATTTTTATCCTTATTACCCCCAATTTCTTCTCAGTGTACTTGGGGTAGATATAGAAGAGTCAGTGGCAGTGGCTGTGATGGTGATACTGATGGTGGTTACCTGACCAGGTGGCGTCGATCTACAGCAACGCTTGACCACACAAGACGCTTAATTTGTTGCAAGTTGTCCGCTGTCTCCGCTTGACTCCCCATCAATCAGCGACCGATTCTCCAACTGGAATGGTGCAAGAACAAGCAGAAGAATCGCTTTTTGCTACATTACCGTTTCATCGAAAATTCAGAGCACGCGATCAGAGCCTTGTTCTTCTCATTTCCCTCTTTATCTATCGTTTTGTGTTAGGATTTCATTAAAGACTGTGAAAGGTTTTAAGTTTTAAATAAAAACAGAACTTACGCTCAACTTTTTTTAGTATAATCTACATATAGTGGTACATCTTGAGTACCATAAACAATAAAGTCTTAACACATATACCTGTCAAACTTTAATCAACTCAAATTTAAATCAATTTCATGAATTCTAAACAATCGAAAGTTAGATATCTGGTTTACATTGGGAAAAAATGGATAAAAATAACCCTAAGATTACGATTTTGTTAGATAGACATCAATCAACTCTAAGTTTTCACGAAGTTTTAAGTCACTTAAAGCTTAATTAAGGCTCATTAGAAGAGAGTGAAAGAGAAGATTACGCCTGAAGCTTGCTTCTGCAAGAAATTATATGTATAATCTCAGATTGAGAGAGAAGAAACCCAGCTGGTTCATTACCAAAGTCAAAGGTTGAATCATGCAATTAAAACTTGAATGAGCCAGCAACTAAAATTAGTCATTAACTGATTTCAGAGAGACTCTTAGAAAAGGTAAGACAAGACAAATAGAAAAAGGTAAAATTAGCTAAGTTCTGGAAATAGAAGTATATAATAATTTATTAATTCTGCAAAGATATATTTTGGTTATAAATTATCCTCATAATCTAGAAAACCTTTTAGCCTTCTCAATCATAATTTATGCATAGTTGAAAGTTGCAAGTACTTATGATGAATTAGTCTCTCCACACGCGACTTCGTTAACCTTCTTGTGGCGCTTCTCCTCTAATTAACCCTTAACTCTCGCTCCACACATGCCACAGCCAGCAACTCTAATGAAAATCTATCACAGTCAGTGCAGGTCTCGCTGAAAAAGTAAATTCATTACACTTTCCCAATTATGTGAGATACATTTTAATAAAGGCGAAGGTCGGGAAAAACCTCATCTTAATCAAGTAAATTAATAGCAGCGAGAAGGAGTTGCCAGGAGTTGCCGCCACAGTCGTCAGAGATCAAAGTAATTAATTATAATAATTAAAAACTTTTTGGCAGTCGCTCTCCCCCTCTCACACACACACACTCTCACTGATGTGAACCACGAAACTTTTCAGCATTTGCATATGCTTGAGTGTGAATGAGTAAGGAAGATGTGGATTGTGTGCTCAAAAGTGCGTGCACCTGTTGAGATTACAGCAATTCCCCAAGCAAATCCCATATTCACATCTTGTTCGGCTCTCCTCTCTTCTCTTCTTCTCTCTTTGTTTTCTATTTAAATAGTAGTTTCATCGCTCTCTTTGCTGTTTTTTGAGTGCACTAGTTTTTTTTTTTTAATCATCGCTAACAGCCTTGGAGGCTGTGAGATTCCACTTGGCTGCCCTAATACACTAAAAGCATTTACCAACACTGCCTGGCACGCCCCTTAGGTCCGATTAACCCCCACACGCCCACCGGCAATTGTTTGTGCTCAGCGATGCAAGTACCGTACTCTGCTCTCTGTCCCACTCTCACGCACAGTGGCGTATGCAGGATATTGTGGGGAGAAAAAGTTCCCCTTTGGGTATTCATTTGGGAAATATGGGATAACGGGAATATATGTAATAAGAAATATTTCTAAAATATTATTTATTTAATAAAATAAAAACTTTCTAAGTAAGATTTCTATTTTGTTTAATATTTCTCATACCACCTAAAACCCTCTTATGCCAAACCTTGCCTACGCCACTGCTCTTACTCACACTATCCATCTCTTTTTGCTGCCAGATTAAGCTGGAAATGAAAGGGAAGGAAGGATATGAGATGTGGAATGCAATCATCTAGAGTGTGCAAAAAAGAGCACTTGCAAAGTGAAGGCGACAGAAACCGCAATGAATAAGCTGCGACATTTGCAAGGGGGCGTGGCTGTGCGCCCACTTGGAAGCAATTAATTGACCCAACCAAATGGCTGTTGAAAGATTCAAAGAAAAAGGAACTGGGAATCTTCTCAGAGAGATTAATACTTTTGAAGTTATGAACTCAAGAAAAGGCAAACTAGTAATTAACACCAGAGTAATTAATTTACCTCTTTTTAATTTATTAACTTGACTTCGTTACAATCGATTATAACTAAATTTATAAGAAGAATTCTTCTTAAGTTGAGTACTCATTCTTGACGACGTTAAGGGCACCAGTATGATCGGTGGCACCCTGAATGGTGGTCACCTTCTGGTTGCCATTAGCATCGAAACTGGAGACGGTCTGTTGAATTTGGGTGTAAGGAACGGATCCATAGTTGTTGGTGGCACCAAAGGTGCTGCCAGTGCTGCCATATCCGTTGTTGGTTACGACTGATCCGGAGGATTGAATGCCGGCACTACCCGAGCTAGGGTTGCCCGATGCGGAGTCCTCACCGAAACGGTTTTGAAAGCTCACACTGAACATAAATTTGATAGATATAGTTACCATTAGTTTGTGTTCTCTAAAATATCCTTCTGTTTTTTAGAGGTAAAGAAAACTTACCCAGCCGCTGGAGCCACTGGAGCGGACTGCTGGGTGTAAGTGGAACCAGATTGTCCAGATCCATCGGAATTCTGAACGGAGTGCGAGGCAAAGGTGATAGTGCCACCATTTCCACTGGACGAGGATGAAGACGATGAGGAAGAGGACGCGCTGTAAATCTGGCGACGCAGACGCCTCAGCAGATGGGCATTCACTGGGTGGACATCCGACTGGTGGCCCTGAGCGTCCAATGTGAAGAAGGCACGGGGCAGGAATTGGCCAGCTAAAATATTTATATTTTATGAAATTATTAATCATGAAGGATTTTAGAAATAGTGGCAGTTAATACATATTTTTTTAGATTTTTACATACAAAATAGGAACTACATTTTGGTCTTTAAACATTTTTTAATATCCGAATATAATTTTGGACATATATATTATTGTTAGTATTGCATTACCATTGGAACATTAACAAAAATACTTAATATTAAAAATAATATAATTTCTTTTATTGATTGCTAATATGAAGTATTTCCTATAAGCTTTGAACTAACATCTAGTTAGTTTATAAATCATTAAATAGCTTGGTTCTAAAATTCTAAATGCAAAAGTAAATCCCACAGTACAACAGCCTTATTCATCATTATAGAGCTATAAAATATATATATATATATATATCTAAAAACATCAATTTGTATTTACATTTTATTAATATAAGTTTGTTATAGAACAAAATGTAACTGATAGTTAAATGTAACAAAAGGTAACTGATAGATGACTTAAACTGCAGAATCCCGAAAGTATGCAAGAAGTTCTTCCAAAACGATAGAAATTTCTTTTTCGAATGTGAAAGTTTGTCCACTCTACAACTGCGTGAATAATTATAAACCTAATGACAAGATGAATAGATAAATTATTCAATATAAAAAACTGAAATCAAAATTAATGTACGGAAAGTTTTCGATGGGCAAACATTGTCGCCAACTTAATGAGCCAGCGAATTTCACAAACCAGTTTTCGGGGTTCCGGATGGGTTCGATAGGTTTTCGGGTATTATTATTAACATACGCACACAACCATCCACTAACTTGTTAATCAAATTAATAATAAACACAATAGCTGCCCTGCCTAGCGATGATGTAATTGCAGACTCGAACTTAAACACTTCATTAATTATGATTAAACGTTTTTACTCACCGGAAGAGGCGGCAGCAGCAGAAATCGCAAACAGGGCGATGGCAATCACAGCGTACTTCATTGTGAGATCTGTAAGAGAACACTTTTAACACTTAGTACGGCGTGGGGGTTTTGTTTTTCAGCTGGGGGTTTATCCAAGGGTTAACACAACTCACAGGAGGGCAAAACGAAAGACTGAGGCAGCGAACGCGTGAAAAGTTCCAAAACGACTAAGCTCGCGTTCCGGCTGTTCGGCGCTTATATATGGAAATTTCTCAAAGCTGACGTAGTGCTAACCATCAACATCATTATCATCTAAAGGTGGAAGAACAAGCAGAAGCCGTCAGACAAGCAGAAGAGTTGAACAAATAACTCCACCGGTAGAATCAACAATAAACAAAAGAAGCCAGGCTATTAACTGATTTTGTCGTTGTTGTTGGGCTTAAAATAAAAACCTGGCTTGGGCTCATAAAAATAAAGTTAGGCCCAAGAGTGATTCATGGTTAATAACATCTCTTCTCTCAGTTAACTTTTCTCTCAGTAAGTTTTATCTCACCAAATAAATCCCCACGAAAAAGTTAATAATAATAAAAGACTACATGACGAGGCAGCCAACTGGGAATTTCTGTTCTGTTTGTTTTTTTTTCACTTTATTTGTTTTTTGCATTATATATACATATATATTGTCGACTGCCTATGAACGAGTCAAGCTGTTTTTGGCCAAGTACCCTCGGTCTTCCTACTTCTTGTTCTCACCCAATCTTTCGCCTTGAGCTCTGTTTTTGACCCGATTCGTGTTGTTTGACCAAAAAGCAAAGAAGAACTTCTTGATTCTTTGCTTGTTTTTTGCTTGGGGCATTAACCTGATTACAACGTGGCCAACACCTAAAGGTATACATGTATTTGGTCTAACTTAAACTATAAGTTCAGCTTAATTTGTTTAATGGCCGGCATGCGTCCACGAATTATAATATATTTTGAATTTTAAACAAATCTTGCAAGCGTTTCTCCACGCCAACTGTTTGAAAATGAACTGGTTTTAGCGGGTTTTTGTTTTGTTTTGCTAACAAAAACAAAACTCAAATCAAATCTTGTTATTTAATTTTACATTAACATATATATTCCAGGAAATCCTTTAAGTTAATAAGTCAAACTGGTTATAGAAGTAAATGAGTTGGTTAGTGGGACTGGCTTAACGGTTGTGAATGGGGATTTTTGGTTTTGGTTAAAGTAAATCATTATCTTGGCAATTAAATTGTACAAAAGTTAACTAAAGTTGAATAAAATAAGATTAATTAAGGATAAATTATGACATTTCATTTATATTTTAATTTATAACCTAAAACAGATTTTGTTTTAGTTATTTTTTAGCCACATTGCCCCTTCTCCCAAGCCAATTACCTTCCCCACCCAGCCTAATCCTCACACGTCAAACGAATTCAATTCCTTAGACTTATTATTAATCCAATACATATTCCTGCCATTTGTTCAGCTCAAAATATTTTCAAATTTCGCACACGTTCTTTGGCCAAAAATATATACAAAAATTGAATACGAAAAAGAGAAAAGGAAAACCTTTTTTCCGCAAAAATGGTGACAGAGCAAAATGCTCGACCGCCTAGTTGGAAAAATAATCCCCAGCCGATTTGAACGATTTATTATTTGGACCCAGCCAGCCAGCTCGGAGAGCCTGTCCGAGCAAAACCAAAACCATTAATCATCCAGAGTCCAGAGCCCAGAATCCAGAGTCCAGAATCCAAGTAGTGGTGGTGGACACTCGACTCGTTGCAATTGGTGGACATTTTGGAGAAGAAAACTTTTGCGGTACGTGGCAACGTGTTGAAATTACAAAATGTGTTAAAAAATGAAAGGCCGCACAAAAAATAAAAGAAAACAAAATAAAATATTTCATTCACACACAGACTTTTGTCTCTGCCTGCTGTCCATCTATAAAAAAAAAAAAAAAATAAATTTCCTTTGAGAATAGAACTTGTTGGGGGGCGGGAGGCAAGGTGATTATGTTTGACAGCCGACTTGGGAACAGCCCCGCCCCGCCCCTTATTTTCATCGCCAGACAGGACATGGGTATTAGATCCTGACCAAAGTGTGGAAATTGGTTTCGTTTTCGGACTGATTTATGGCCAACTATTTTGTTTAATTTTCTTAAACTTAAAATACTTAACTTAAAGAACACAAAAAATACTTTTTTAAAGATCAAATAAAATTCGAAATAATTTTCTTTAATGATTTTTTGACTTCCTCTGGGGAACTGCCCTCATAAATATGAGTTATTGAAACAGCTGAGGAAAATAATATAACCAAATCAGAAGGCCAAAGTGGGTGGAGGTGGCTGGAGACTGAATGACAATTTGCTTTTCTGCCTTCAACCTCCCTCAACGGAAATTGATTTTCAATGTTTTTCGCCTAAAAATACAAACAAGAAAAGAGTGGAAAAAAATAATTTGCTTGTGATTGTCAGTTGAATGTTTTGTGGGTGGTTGGGTGGAAAAAGCACTTCAAATCCACTTCTCTAGATATGTCAGTATGGAATCACGAACCTAGCCTGATTTCTCTAGTGATTTTTCGCAATCAACCTGATGAGGATGGCGCAGAGTGTGATGCTCATGGAGGGCAGTGGCTATGATTAGTATCCTTTTTAGCCAGGTCAAAAGCCACTCTCTCGCATGCCAAGTGGCCACGGCCAAATAAAACTTTAATGCGGAACAAGGACGAAAGGCTAAAAGAAGCCGCCTGATGAACTACGTGATGGTCAGAGAATATAGAAGTTACACCTGGAAAAATGAAGGGATTATAGTCTTAGCTTGGGTTTTTAATAGTTTACATTAATAAAGTAAGGAAATGAAATAGCAAACAAACTATTTTATAGGCTATAGACCAAGTTAAAATATTGCAAATATTACTTAGCAATCGTAGTTTAGAAGTAAGGGTAATACTGATTCTGGCTGAAGAAAGTAAGTATTTTAATTATAACCATGACAAAGATGGTTTGCAGATCTTAGCCAAAAGTAAAAGTTGAAGAGTTGCTTGCCAATATGGAAAGTATAAACCTCTCAAATATTTCCCCAGTGTAACCGGATAGTCAGCGACAAACTACAATGCATTGAGGTTGGCGACGTAGGAACGCGACCTGAATCTAGAATTATTACCCAGCCTACCCAGCCCGCCCAAGTTATAGAAACTACGACTAGCATATGCCGGAGATATAGCTGGGATATCAATGGCAATAATGTACTTGGTCCACGAGTATCTTTATTATCCTGACTTGGCTGGCAATTATTTCTGATTATTTTTTCACTGTCTCGTTTTTCGGATCCTGGGAAAGGCAAACAAAGGATATTTCAAGCACACGCCCATGGACATGATTGCATCCGGCTAGGAAGCCCTGCGTCATGTACTACTGCATCCTTACAATACGAACTTCCATTTCTGCAATTCAGATCCCTTCGGCTGGTTTTCATCCGCAATTTTCACGCCCACTTTGTTTGATGATGACAAATCTCGTTGCGTGTTATCAGATTGGCCAACATTACGCTTTTCCCGCTATCCGCTATCCATTTTACCCCCCTTTCGGCTTGCATAATTATGTTTATCTTTGGTAGCTGCGCTCGTGCCACGTGTCCTTGGCTTTTTTGGTTGTGCTTCCTCCTGCGATTTTCCTCGTCGACCTCGGAACGGGTGGCACGTGCTAATCGGCGGTCGTCTACTTAGAACGCCCATCTATGTAACTACTACCCCCCACCCTTGGTAAATGCAACCCCTCTTTGCATGTCCGATAATTGAAATCGCTAAGCTGAACATCGTCATTGGAATGGCTTCATTTATCAGGTCACTTCGATGGCAGCGCATAATGTTCTTTCTATGAAAATTTTAATTGGGGGGAAGGTTCCATTTGTACAGCACTTAGCTGGATTGATTTTGCTCTTTTTTTAAACTAATTAGTGAGAGTAAGAAGGAATTTGTTGTTAAACAGGAAATTAATTTCCTTAAGAATATTATTTAAGTAATTTTTTCATAGAAAAGTGACACCTCTGTTAGACATTATAAAATGTAATTTGGCTTTGGCTAAGCTTGTTTATATTACTTATATATCTAAAGTTTATTCCTACAAATTGTAAGAGCTTTCTTTAGAGTTGAACAATTTAATAAGAGTTTTTATTAATTTAAAATTTGTGAAATGCAGGGCTCTTACTTGTGACTTCAAAATCGAATTTAATGTTAGGAAAGGGCACGGCGCTTGCGAACGAAAGGGAGTTTCAATATTAACTAATTTATTCGACTTAAATTATCTTATGCTATGAACAGAAATGAAGACCAAACGCGAGAGGGGGAAAAAGGAGAGCGGCGGTTACTGGGTCCAGCTCCCCTCTTTACACTGAAAGACCGGACATTGAACGAGCAAGTTAAAGTTAAAGTTTAAAAATAATGTTAGGGAATTTTCAAAATAAGCTCAAAGATACTAAGATCCTAACTAAATCTGTAATAACTATAAATTAACTAATAGTAACTATAATAATAGATATTTTGATATATTTTTACCAAACTGATTATAAATACGTGAAAATAGCTCTAACAGCGTTGTAAGCCCAAATAATAGGCCTTTTTGGATAGATTCTAAGGAACCTTAAGGATTAAGAAAACTAAGTATGTTGATAAAAGGGTATCATATACCTCTTTTTTAAACACCCTTAAATATTATTCTTATACTTTTCAAGAATACCCCAAGAGTTAAACCAGAAAAAAATATTTTTTTAAAATCTAACATATTTTCTTAAAATTTAAATGCCCCTCTATAAGGATCAAAACATGTGAAAATGGTTTAAAAATTTTCTTAAAAACAAAAAAAGGTCAAAAAATCTGTTAAATTGGTAAAACTGAATCAGAAATCAGTTAATTTTTAGGTTTTGTGGATTTCAACCTACAAATTAGCTCAGAGAAAGTCAAATAACTGTTACACTTTCTGAAAATTTTGTACCATTTAAGCATATTAAAATTAAAAACCTTGAACCAAGCTTTTTAGATCCAAAACAAGCCAGTTTTCCCTATGCAACCCACCGAATTTTCCCATTTTAAATAAAATTCGCTTCTTTATGTACCTTTAAGGAGGTCCTTCGGTTAATGAGTGCACTCACACACCCACACCAGCCCGCACAACCAAATGAGTGTCGCCCTGCGGACGAATAAATTATGAACAAAAGCCTCACACACACACTCACACACACTCTCTTAGAGAAAGAGAGGGGCATAT